CCACTTTCCTATAAGGAAACAAGCACATACAAACATTTAATAGCCTCATTTGTAGCATGTGCCCCAACGAATAAGGGGAACAGCCACCTTTGAACTAGCATTTTTCCCTCTTTATTATGTGGATCCTTACTGCTCTCCCATCCCTTGTTTATACCTTCATTCTCAAAGTCTTAACATCATATCTGTAGTTTCTTAAGTGACCATTAGGTGGGTGTGAGAGGCTACTTTAGAGCAACAGACCTCTAACAGTTAACTTTGAAAATATAGCCTCTGATCATGTGTAGGTAAGGCCCCTTAAGCAAATATTTATTTATATTAGTTCCTGGTGAACAGTCTCTACCAGTTTTTCAAAAACAGTCTTTGTGGGTTTGTTGCAACCATTGTGATATATTGGGTAAATATTATCTATTGAATGTATTGCTAAAACACAGTAACTTGAGGTGTTCCAAACAATTAGGTGTTTAAAATATGCTCAGTTTTTTATACAAGGGATCATACAACCTTTAAAATGCAGTCACTATATCTGCATGAAAGATTCCCTTTCCTGATCTTGTTTAAAAAACAAACAACAAAATCCATACATAGAGATTCCTTAAATTTATTTACTTTGCATTTAAGTGACAAAGAATTTTTTCTTCATAAGCTTGGGAACTAGTCATAAAAGGAAGAGAGAAGACAGGTTCTGTTCTAAGTTATGCTGCTCTGAACTATGTGTACATTCCATTCACACCAAATGAGAACCTTTATTTACAAAGACAATTCTTCAGAACAAGCAATATTCCTTGGTGTGTGTCTGTGCAATGCCTAGCACATTTTCCCTCTACTCTACAACTAAGTGTCATTTTAGTAATCATCATCATCAACAAAATCTCCAGACTTATACTGAAATAACTGAACAGAAGCAAAATCAATCATTAGACCCAGATAATGCATGCTTTGACTCATTTTTAGTCCTTGTAACTTTAATTATTTAAAAGTTGTCAGAATAAGATAACAACATTTTAAGTAGCCTATCCCAAGGATCAAGTACAAGACAATTTTGAAGTTGTCAAAAATGATCTGTAAATTCACACCATTGTAAGTTTAAAAAGTAATTTAAAACTTTATTGACAGAGAGCTTCAAATGGAAACTAGTTTTTAATACTTTAGAAAATAATTCTAGGCAGGGTTCCAGCATTACCGCCTCACAAGCATCAGTGGCCTTCCCTCGATATGAGGATGATGTCTGCCAAAAAAGACAAGTCATTGATGAGACTTAAGATGCCTGAAGAGTCCATTTCCTTCTCTACGAGTTTTTCAACCTATGACGGGTATTGCTTAGAGAGAGCACAATTGCTGGCCAGGATGCGTATAGTTTCCTTTGTCCTCTGCTGTTCCTCAGCCTCATAAACAAGGCAATTCTCTTCTAAACAAGCTAAGCCTTGATATATGATATGGCACCATTACAGTTTAGTGATAGTCAACTCTTCCCTGTTCATGGGAGCAATGCCTCCCTTCTGAAGATACACTTTTAGGGAGTCCTTGTAACATTTCCTCTGTCTTCCACAGGTTTTCTTACCATAACTAAGTTGAGAAAAAGAGGACTTGCTTCCGAAGATGAGTATCAGATCTCCATACACAATGACCTGCCCAAGAAAGTTGATGTTACATAATCTTTGTCCCAACACTGGTGTTATCAGATTCAGAAAGAACACTGGTAGTGGTGTGATTGTTTTCCCATCTGAATCACAGAATCTATTGAAGGTAGCACTGCTGGTACAATTCCACATGCTTAAGATGACTTTGGTATGTCACCCATGTCTTGCTCCCATAAGAAAAGAATGGGGATGAATACTGCATTATAGGCCGGGACATTTCCATTTGACGTTATCTGTCAATAAAGACATGATGGAGCAACTCTCTGAGGGTATGTCTACACTACCCCGCTAGTTCGAACTAGCGGGGTAGTGTAGACATACCCTGAGAGATGTGCTGGCACAGAACATGAGAACAGAAAATAGGTGGAACTTTTGTCTTCTTTCTGTATCACACAACTTCTGAACTTGCACAAAGAAAGACTGTATCTGATGTTGATAATTCATGAGCCTAAGATGGGGATGCATGTTCATCCTGTCTTTCCCATTCCCAACAACATATTAGACCTTCTCAGAAGACAATTCCATTTCATAATCATTTTTGTGATTTTGAAATTTGTTTTCTTTCCAAGGTTCAATAAAGCTCTTGAACATTTTCACAAAATAAAATTGTCTCAAACCAGCTATTTTTCTATTCTGGTCTTCTCTCTCTCTGGTCAAAATGGTCAGATAATCTTGAATCTCAAACCTTCTAGATGGAACTCTCCTCAAAATCAATGCCTCTGTGAAATGTTTCATTTTCAAGGAAACAGCAATTTTTTCGGACAAAATTACATTTAGCCAAAAAGTGTTCCAACCTGCTCTGTTATTCACCCTTCTAGCATAGCACCCCCAAACACCAAACAGGACAAGGTAAGGATAAGGCTAGGATCTAGTTTTCTTTGCACACCAGCTGGTAGTCTTAGGCTAGCAATACAAGGAGTATGTGCTATAACTCATAGGATAAACTAGCATCAGGGCCAGGATGTGGCTTGGGCATTAGTATGAGTCATGGGTCAAAGGGCCAGGAGCCAATTACAAGGAATCAGGCAGACTGGAATACCAGGAGATCAAAATAAAAAAACAGACCGGAAGGTAGCGATCAAGAGTCAGTTACCGAGAGTCAGGATATGTGTACGTCAGAAAACAGGAACAGATAAACACCAGACCAGCAGGGCTAGGCAAGGGGAAGCTCAGTTATTCTTCCTGTTCCTCCACTGGTTTAAACAGAGGTTACAGTCCGGTCAGGAACCTTTTATCTCCCCCTGTAAGTTTAGGACAGAGCTTATGTCCCAGTTGGTCTTCATGAATCCTGGGCCTAACTGAAGTCTGTGACTTGCCAAGTGGAGCATTAGAGTGTATTGATTCCAGAAATCTGGATTTGATACCTGCGGGGCCTGACAATTACAAAAATGGCTCACCAGACTTGCCTCCAGTGAAAATGCAAGTATTTATCACTCCTACACTCAATATGTCACAAGCAATGTCCTTTGCTATCAAGATAGCCAGCAACCTTAACCCCCAAAGGCACACAGTTCTCTACAGACAAAATGTCTTTGTTCTCTACTATTGTGGACCAATACATGCACGAGAACAGAAGAAGGTACAAAAATCACACTATGGCCCAATGTACTGAATTTCTAGGTATAGTCACAGTGACATATGGACCTAAAAGTGAAATTGTGAAGCTCTGCATTTCAGTTCTATCTAAAAGTGGCACTGTACAATTCTTCTCTTCCTATTCACTAGGGCACTAGCCAGCTCACATTGTTATGCTATTAGTTTTCTAGCCCCCTCCAGAGAGTTTGCTACTAGTTCCTTTGATTGATCTGCAATTTCCCAGAGACTCAGTCAAACCAATAAAAGTGAGACTGATAAAATTACAGTACTGCATCAATGTACTCTCTTTGATTTTTGATGACTGTCTTTGGGTTCAGAAAATAATCTTAAAGCCAGATGGATAGCAAGTTGAGCAGCATGTTCTATAAAGTGAGATAAATGAAGTAAAATTATAGGTTTATAATCAAACATATACAATTAATCTTCAAACCTTTTACAAATAATCTGTATTTTAATGTGTCAGTCTCAAAATGCTTGTGATTAGGAAGGTTATGGAAAAGTGCTACAAAAACAAATATAGCATACCTATCTTTTAAAGGAGCGTCTTACAAATTGAACAGCACGCACAATTTAGGGAATTTTAATAAAAAAACTTTTATTAAATGTAACAAATTAGTCAGTGTATATGAACTCCCACTGTGATTAAGAACTGTCAAGTTACAACTTAATCCAGACAAGACAGAACCCACATTTCATAACCTTCTGGCACATGGCAAAGTCCACATTTCCCCTCTTTTTTATTAGATTGTTGGGAAAAGAGTTTGCAGGAAACTCGGTTGCGTATATCAACAGGCTGTTCTTTTTTATGATTTTATGTGTGATTTACCTTTGGGACAGGCATTGAACAGATCAGATAGATGCCTACAGCTATTATTTATGCATTCAAATAAATACATGTGTATGATGAATGAATTGTGAAGGTGTATATGGCAATGGATTCACATTGTTTTGTTCTTAAGAAGATCTTTGCCTATTCCAATATGCTAAACTACTAACTTCATTGGGTGGGCTCAGCAGGTCACCTAATCTCCAGCCAGATAGGATGTCTAGATCTTACAGGTTCTCACTTTGAAGGTCAAAATATTTGAATTTAGAAATGGGACTTTTCCACCATTGGAGATAGCCCCACTGAGGGCTCTAGACTAATTAGATGTTGGGCAAAAAACAGGAGAAATGAGGAAGAAGCTGGACTAAAGAATGCCTTCTGTCCGCTGCAGACAAAACACATTCTTTGGCTGTGGTAAAAAAGAACACAGTCTTTAACATTACTCTCCTGTTTCCTGCTGCAGCTAAATATAAGGGACAGTTAACGTGCAAGTGGTTATAGACTCAGATGCCTGCTTACCAGTTCAACATCCTTTGATCATTAGGTAGCTGTACTGACTTCAGTGGGACCACAAACAACTCTGATGTATGCAATGACCAAGGGTTATTTCCTACCTAAGTAGTATAGGCTGCCTTCTGTAGGTTGGGAGGGCAACAAAGAAGGTAGAAAAACATATATATGAAAACGTATTTATAGATTAAAAAGTCAAGAGAATTTGTGCACCAAACATAAAAAAGAAAGACAGGGGAAAGAAAAATACAAGAAAATAGGAAAAGCAAAGAGAAAGGGAATAAGACCCAATGGCCTAAAAAGAATGGTAATACAACTTTTTGGTGCAAAGCAACACGGAGATATTAATACATCACTAGAGGAGGTTGTGACAATAAATGGTTGGGAGAACGAAGCAAAGTCTCCCTGACCTGCCAAGCTGACAGGATGAGAATATAAACAGGCAGGGAAAGGTAGGTTGGCAGTGAAAATTGACAATATTTGACAATATTTCCCTTTTTC